GGGTGATTCTCCCATCACCCTATTTGGGTTTCTAATCGACCCACCCCAAATCGATTAGTGGCGACTCCTTGATATAAACCACTTGCATGTTAAAAACTTAAACCCTAAGTCGCGATATGGTATGGGCTTGGGAGAGCCCGAGTTAAGTCCCGAACCTAGACTTAGCACATACCAGGCGAGCCCCCCCTTTTTTTGCATTGTTGTTTAAAAAAAGGGCTCGGGAGTTCGGTCGCGACACGTGGATTAGACTTATGATTCAAGTTCGATCTCTCGTAGCAAATGTGGACTACTGTTAATGAGATTTATCTATAAAGTGGACTTTGTCGTCGTAGAGAGATGCTCAATACATAAATCGACAATTTTTCCAACATATGTGCATTAACCCATCATCCAAATGACAGTATACACACTTGCGGAGAGATCTACCAAGCTTTTGTACTTCTTGTTACACGTGAATTTAAAATCAACTGAAGACCTAAAACCTGAACTATAAACGTGACGTTAGAGTGAGTTTGTAAGGAGGGGCAATTTGATCTTTTTAATGTGGAGTTTTACTTAAAGATACGTTAATGGTATTTGGAAAAATAGAGAATTGAACGTGATTATCGGGTTAAAAGTGAAGTTTGTTTTTTGTATTTTAATTTCTCTTAGAATATTGCCCAATTTCCTAAAAAAACTCCCAAATTCAGGTCTAGTCTCAATTCTGCATCGAACATTTTTTATCTTAAAAAAAACCCCAAACTTTAGGTCGAGTCCCAAATCTGCCCCAAACTTTTTTTGTCTCGGAAAAAACCTCAAACTTTAAATTAAGTCCCAAATTTGTTACGAATTTTGTTTTGTCTAAAACAAATCACAAACTTTCGATCTATTCTCAAATGCCCACGTGGTCTAATCCCAACTTGACATGGCATTTCCACATCGATAACAAATCCACGTCAACAAGGTAACATCGAAAATTATCTTCAAAACGAAACCGTTGTTAGATATGAAATTTAGGGATGATTAATGGCAATTTTTGGACAGAGGGCTAACGGGGCATATTTGGGACTAGAGTCAAAACTTGTGATTTTTCTCTTAAACAGAAAAAAAAATTCGCGATAAATTTAGGACAGGACCTAAAGTTTGGGGTTTGTTTTTAGATAAAGAAAAGTTTGAAGTAGATTTGGATTAGACCTAAAGATTGGGATTTGGTTCTAGACAAAAAAAGTTTGGGGTAAAAGTTGGGACTAAACCTAAAATTAGGGGTTTTTTTCAGAAAACTAGGCCTATAAATATAGTATATACGATAACTACCACCACCTGACACCTCTAAACAAAATCTCTCTCTCTATATGAAGACATCCCTAACACCAAGGGCCCCCGTCTATGGCAGCATGCTAGAGACGTGCTGCCATAGACGACTGCAAATCTGCGTTCCAGATCTGGAGGGGTCATCACCATTGATGAGGGTTCGCGAGTCGGCAAGTGATGCCTCCATATCTCTCTCTATCTCTCTACATCGCTGTTTGTGGAGGACTTTCTTCATGGCGGCAACGCCACGAGAGCGCCGGCTCGAGTTACGTCTAAGCATATTTCGAAAGTGTCGTTTTTCTTTCCAAAAATAGTTGTACCTCAATACCCAAAAACACTTAAAATCAATTCAAAGCCAAATAACCTAAACCCTAAACAAGATGCTAGAATGAGTTTGCAAGGATCAAAGATAAAATTAAGGTGCTTGCAAAAATATAGGTGTGTACGTAGTTATTGGATTAAAAGTGAGGTATATCCTTCATATATTTGAACAAAATTTCTTTAAAAAACTATAAATTACGTACATACATAAAGCCGGTTCGGTCTCAAGCAATGAAGAATATTCTAGTCCGGTTAGATTATACGTCCCAAGGAGGCTCAAAAGATGGCTTTGGCAAGACGAACTACAAAGCACAATAGTCATTGGGGAATTCCATATTAGCATTTTTTTTTCAAACGGGAAAAGGAACATAAAACGGTCTTTTATACATCCATTACACTGCAATGCACAAAAAAATTATTTTTGGCCAATAACACGGAGGAATAATCTAAAGATGCGAAAATAAAATATGCAGGCCTTTTGTGTGATCAAGCCCTATCTAAAAAATATAAAGAGGATAGAAGCTACAAGAAGCCTCACTAGACGTTAACCCAAAATGCGCAGGCTTTGAGTAAATACCTCTACAAATTAGAATTTAGAATAATAAATCGGATAAATACTTTCAAGTTGATTAGATAGATTAATTATATTGAAAGTGTTCAATAGCCTCACCAACTAACGAAGTTCTATAAACTCCTATATAGTTATAGCACCTCGAAGTTGCATGTATGGTAATATAAGTTTTAAAGCCGTAACATCTCGACGTTTGGTGAGGCAGTTTCCGAAAAATTACTATGAGCCACTATAACTCTGAACGAACGGTAGCTTTTTTTTTTTTTTGGGTCAAACCCGTAGCTGTTGAGGTGTTTACCAAACACCACAACTAATCAAAACTGTGAAGTATTATATGATTGGTAATACATGTTATAAACCTGTAGCACCTCAAAGTCGAATGAGGTAACCTCCTAAAAGATATCGTAAGTTGCCATAACTTTAGAGGGGTTACGACTGATGAGTTGTTTGCCAAAATGCCTTCAAAAGTTATATTATAACACCATTTTTTTCACAGTTTGAACTTCTACGAAGAGCTGTACCAAACAGCCTCTATGATGGAAAAGGTCAAAAGTCCTTATTTGCAAAGTTTTCGATGGATAAGAACATCAATATATTAGTGAAGAATTAAAACATACTTTTAATGTCATATGTATAGCCCAATGTATTTAGTGAAAATATGGAATCGATTGAGACTAGGGAAAATATGTCATGTCTTTAGCGTATTAACTGTTAGTCTTTGGCAAGCTCCCGTAGCAAAATTCTACAATCTAAAGTGGAGGTTAGACAAGACATAATGAGTGTTAAATGTGGGGAAAAGTGCCAAAAAAGTCCTAAAGCTTTTGCATTAGTGCCAATTTAGTCCAAAACTTTTTTTTGTGCCAATTCAGTCCTAAACCTTTTGCATTGGTGCCAATTTAGTCCTAAACCCTTTTTTGGTGCCAATTAAGTCCTAAACCTTTTAAATTGGTGCCAATTCAGTCCTAAACCTTTTATTTTGGTGCCAATTTAGTCCTTCCGATCAATTTTGATCGGAATTTGCCGACGTGGACGCCGGCCGGCCGGCGGCCGGTCACCGGCGCCGACGTGGCGCCGCCGTGGACAACTTTAATAATATTTTAATATTTTTTTGAATTTTTATTTTTTTTTCTTTTTTTTCCACTTTTTTTTTGGACTCTCCACCTTCCTCTGGCCGGCGAGCTCGACCTCACCGGCCACTGTTGAGGGCGAGTCTCGCCATGGTCGGTCGAGGCCCGACCAAGGCTCGAGCCTCGCCTTGGTCGGGCGAGGCTCGATCTCGTCAGATCCGGCGAGGTCGGGCCTCGACCGACCATGGCGAGGCTCGAGCCCTCGCCGGAGGCGTCAGATCCGGCGAGGTCGGGCCTCGGACCGACCATGGCGAGGCTCGAGCCCTCGCCGCGACCTCCGGCGAGGGCTCGAGCCTCGCCATGGTCGGTCGAGGCCCGACCTCGCCGGATCCGGCAAGGTCGAGCCTCGCCCGGCGACCTCACCGGATCCGGCGAGGTCGGGCCTCGACCGACCATGGCGAGGCTCGCCCTCGCCGCGGCCTCCCGGCGAGGGCTCGAGCCTCGCCTTGGTTGGGCGAGGCTCGAGCCCTCGCCGGAGGCCGCGGTGAGGGCGAGGTCGCCCTTGCCAGTGGCCGGCGAGGTCGAGCTCGCCGGCCTCTGGCCTCCGGCCGGTCGCCGGACCGGCGACAGGCCAGAGGAAGGAGGGAAAGACCAAAAAAAAAAAATTTCAAAAAAATATTAAAATATTATTAAAGTTGTCCACGTCGGCGCCGGTGACCGGCCGGCCGGCGTCCACGTCGGCAAATTCCGATCAACATTGGCCAGAAGGACCAAATTGGCACAAAAACAAAAGGTTTAGGACTGAATTGGCACCAATTTAAAAGGTTTAGGACTTAATTGGCACCAAAAAAAGGTTTAGGACTAAATTGACACAAATGCAAAAGGTTTATGACTGAATTGGCACCAAAAAAAGGTTTAGGACTAAATTGACACTAATGCAAAAGGTTTAGGACTTTTTTGGCACTTTTCCCGTTAAATGTGTAATAACATATATATCTGGTTTGATACCTCCTTTTTCGTGGAAAATTAATTCGGAATGATTTCAGAGCGATAAATTAGAAAACGTGGACAATCTTCCTTCTTTATGTGGCAATTGATTATGGCTTACATGTCAGCATTAAGACTTTGTTTGTTTTGCAGAAAATAAATAATTTGAAAAAAAAATCTTAAAAATGATTGATTGTATTGCTTGAAATAATTATATAATAGAGAAAGTTTTCATTATTGACAACAATTTATAGTTAAGCACTTTCATGGACGTTGAAATTTTTTTTGTTCAATTATTTTTTAAGGTAATACAAGCGGTCATTTTTAGGAAAATATTTTCCAAATTAGTCATTTTCCACGAAACAAGCGAAGCCTAAATATGACTAATACAATACAAATATTACACAAAGGCTAAGCCATTTACTTTCTTTCCACAATTTGAATGCAACTGTTATTTGAACTTGATAGTTTTAAGAAAAATTACGTGCTGAAATCTACATATAACAATCTTCATATGTTTTGAAAGGCTCGCCCCTTAAAAAGAAGTCAAATTAAGGATCATTAAATTGATTAGTAAAAATCTAAAACTTTAAAGTAGGATTGACAAGACCATTACATGTTCAATTAGTCATCGTACTCCATCGATAATGCGCACCAACAAAATTCAAGAGTTAGAACACTGAACAATGCAAAAGCATGACCGAATCAAAAGAACTACGTATATACTATTTATTCCGAGGCACCCTGTCCTCGTCCCAAACCCTTCACGACCCTCTAACAATAGCAACAGTGGCAAACGCCATGAAAGACAGTTGCGCCGCGTCTTTGTTCTGCTTCGTCAACGGCGAGACGGCGCCCTTCTTCTCCTTGAACTGGCTCTCGCACGTGTCCACATTCGTAGGCACCGTGCCTATCAAGAACTGAGCGTCCGAGTAACGCTTCGCCCGGTACGACCCAACCGCATCTTTCATGGTCTCGACCGAGTCCGAGTACAGGTCCGAGCAATCCAACAGGCAGTTCTTGACGTACCGGTCCCACTTCTGCTTCAGCAGATGCTGAATGTATGGGCATGTGCCCGTCAGGCTGTTTTCTAACAGGTTAAGCGCGATGAGGCCCAAGCCTCGGATGTCCGCCGTGCGGCTGTTTGGGTCCGATCCAAGAGACTTCATGCAGTAGTCGTACTTCACGTTCGGCGTCGAGGCTGCGATCTTCTTGCAAGTGTCCCCGACAATGTCGTTTGCCGCCGATTCAGCACAGAAGAGGATGAGAGAAGAGGCTAGGAAGAGGGACGAGATGCAGAGGGCACTATTCATCTTTGTTTCTTGCATATAGAAATCTTAATCAACGCCTTAATCAAATGAAGACCATTGGCATTTAAAGAAGATCGTCCATGCATACTTAAAATCAGGAGCGTTAATTAAGCAATGTAAATCGAATTCTCATTTATTGGAAGGAAAGTCTCCAATAATCTAGTATTTATGGCTTGGCATAAGCCTATATGCTAAGTTCAGCAATTACGTCGTATCACTTTAATACATCACTTGGTTACAAATTTACGTTACTAAATTTAGCAATACTGCTAATTAGTTTTGTATCATCTTGAAAGCATGGAATTTTAGGATCCGTTTGTTTGAAAGAACACTGCTTTTGCGAAATTATTTTATAACTTGCCAGTATTTGAATGATGTAAAAATAATCGCTGAATGAAAAACGTTTTCATGGACCGAAAATAACAAGCTTAGATTTTGAGGAAAAGCAACTTTCCCTTCTGGTAAGAAAGATATCACTTGTCCTAAATCTCTAAATAAATAAAAACTAACAATTTTCCTAAAAAATGATTTACATAAAAAAATATTTTCTTTTATCATAAAGTTTTATGTAAAACAAAGGTATCCTTAAACGTGCTTTGAATTCTAAGGCATCACATTTCCCGCCCGCCCAGACCAGTTGATTCCTGCCCATTCCTTGTTTGGTTTGTAAAAATTAAGCAGCCGAAATGGAAAACTGTAGAATGAATGATTATTAAGGACTCGATCGGAATGGAATTAATAAAAAAAGTTAATTTAGTTGATTAATATCGGCTGTTGAATGGGAATTTACCTACGTTAATGTACAGTAGGAATATCCAGCAAACAGTGTAGTCATCAATAATCTATATATATATATATATATATATATATATATATATTTACAGACCAGTGTAAATTATTGCCCTCATTGTCTGCTACATGTATTCCTAAACAAGAATAGGTTTCTTGAGCTCTCAGCTACTGGAGGTGTTACCTAGGACAATTTGAAAATTTTCCATTTTTTGCAGTATCATGATTCCTTAATATTGCTTTAATTATTTCCATTAGCAGCCTAGGACCTTCTTAGGCAGCATTTAGAAACACTTTCCCAAAGACCCTTGGGTAAATGTTAATCTGTTTGGTTAAACATTTTTGGGAAATATATTGCATTTTCAAATCCTCCAACGGCCTTTTTCTCAATGCAAGTCTTACCTAGCTGGCTTTAAACATTTCCGGGATGCTAATACATTTTTTTCTTTCAATTTATACTCACCAACACGCAACAATGACAAGGTTAGACCGATGAGCTAGATCTAATCACCGACGGCCCTTGCGTGAGGTTGTGCGACCTAGGCTTTGGGGTCACGACTTCAGGCGAGGGTCGCCGATGTCAAATCTAGCTTGCCAGCATCTTTTGTTGTCGTCTAGCCGCCGCTTGAGCTTTAGTATTTTTTTTTTAATAACTAAAGTCCTTTACAATCGTAGTTTTTTCCAAACAACATTTAAACTAAAGTTCCTTCCCAAATGCACTTTTCGATTACACTTTACTAAATATTATTTGCATTTCGAAAAAACATTTAAACCTAAACCCTTTACATTTCTCCAAAAGCTTTCCTAAGGGCTCTCCCAAATGCAGCCTTAATCCTCTTTATTCTAGAAAAAGCTTATGACTCCTCCATTTGATAATTTCCCCTTTCTTATATTATTATATCATTGATAAGTGTTTTTGTGCTTCCATTTTTATATACAAATATCCATTATCATATTGAGTTTATACCCTTCCGTTACCAACATATATGTTAATCTTTGTCTATTGGTTTTTCATTTCTTTTTTGTTTTTCATTTTACTAGCCCAATGGCGGTGATTGGGCGTTGCTTTTTAACTAGGCCTCTCGGCCTATTTATAATGGCTTGTTTATTGACTTTTCACTTTTTTGTAAACTTGTTAGAGGAATGTAAACTTGTTAGAGGAACTTTCTTTTCCTAAAAAGACGCCCTTCCTATCTTTTGTGTGAAGATGGAATTGTTTGATATGATCCTCTCTTTTAAATATTGACTTGTAATCAGTCATATCATCACTCCAATCAATCCACTTATCATCACGGCTGTATCTAGAGTCAAAGACACAGCATGTACTTATTTGTCAGCTATGTGACGAGCAAGATCGTACGGCTAAAACATCTAGGCAATTTCGCCAGCGACATGGAGATCCTGAATTTCACTGTACAGCCTCCATCGCTCCCATCAACAAAAGTCTGGGTCCTTAATTCCAAAGCCTTTTATAATGTCACCACTTGACCTAGGCTACTTCTCATTGCATCTAGAGTACAATGGTCCGCATAAATTCATCATTGATGATGCTAAAGGCTTGACACCTCCGCATCCTTTCGTCTTCCTTTATAATATTAAATGTTCTTTGTGTTCTTGCTATCACCAAAACTCTAATCCAAATTTCTTAAGTTTGTAAAATCCAACAACGTGCTATTTGAATTCATCCTTTTCACTTTGTCATCAAGGATCGATGACGTGCAAGGATGGTTCTATTGCAGGTGCCAAATTTTAATGATGTTTATCAACTTCCCTCAACTAAAGTGCGATTGCCTCCTCCTTTGGCCCTTATTAGTAACGAACTCCTACGGTGTATTGACATCCTCAGCTGGGCCACCCATCTCCTTGATTTTTACAGGGTTTTGTAGAGAAATTCTTTACCAGCTCTCTCATCGAGTTAAGTTTCTTACATATAAGTCTTGTCAATAGAAGTCATCTTCTTCCTTTCCAATATTTCATGGAGTCCAGTCAATGGTCGACCACTGGACGGCTTTAGACCGATGTTTGGGGCCCTGCACTCCACTTCAATTGATGGTTATTGAATTTTTGTTATTTTCATTGATCAATTCACGAAATATATTGGTTGTATCTACTTCAACAAGAAATTGCCGATATCCATGCCATCTTTGTTAAATTCAAATTGCTTGTTGAAAATCTCTTTAATAAAAAAATTATCACAGTTTAATATGATGGTGGAGGGGAATTCACAAAACCTGGTCCTTTTCTCTCCCACCATGGCATTACCCATCTCATTACACCACCTTACACTCCTAAATATAGTGGATCCGTCGAACACCGCCATCCACACCTCGTTGAAACCGGTCTCACCCTCTCTCGCGTTTTTGTTCCATTAGCATTTTGTTCACATGCCTTTCTTGCTATCACATATTTGATTAATCAACTCCCGATACCAGCTTTTGATTCCCGTTCTCCTTTTGAGGTACTTATTCATCAAACTCCTAATAATTGCAAACTTAGGGTCTTCGGATCTTTGTGTTACCATCGCTGAAACCTTATGGTCATCGTAAAGCCCCAAAGTCTAGTTCTTGTGTGTTTCTTGGGTACTCAACTCAATATAATGTGTATAAGCGTTTTGACCCGACTTCAAACAAAATATTTCTCTCAAGGGATATCGTTTTTTATGAAATTCAATTTCCTTTTGCTTCTCCTCCATATCCATCGTCTTATAAAACCGAGTCACTTATTACTAATAGGGTCCTGTCTAATTCCTTCTCCTATTAAATTTACACCCTCTAGCCAATTGCCGCTCACCTATCAGGCTGTCGCTTCTTTCCAGGAGAAGAGGAATGGACCCCACTTGTCACGACCCAAATTTTCCGTTCAATTTGAACATCGGAAGAATAAATAATTGAGCCTCAAATGATGTACACGATTTTTTTAATTTACTAAACATAGTCAAAACTCTGAGTACATAAGATACACCACCACTTTAATTTGCTGCGCACTCTGATCCATTCCTCAAAGAGATCTTCGGAAGAGCTCAACTAGATGTCGACCAATTTGTAACATATTTGGAGTGAGTCTAAGCTCAGTAAATAAAAGCTCCAGGTCTCAAGTAGGAGATCTACTTACCACTTGATCGAGAGCACATAACAATCAGCAAGTACTATCACATATCATTCGAGGAATCGCTATAATTCTGAAAATACCAATCACTCATATGGCAAAAGTACAATATATACTAAACTCATTCTTTTATTATTTACATGCTCATAACGGAATGATATGATCACTCGAGAAATAATACATGCATTCTATATGATTCAAGTGTTAGTAATCTGATCTCAATCTAACATATTAACCGGTTTATCTTTTGTGCGCACGTATCCTAATGTAATTACAAACATACGAAAAATCTACATATTCATAAAAGCCGTTACAAGCACTAACCAAGCATGTCAAATTTCCCTCAACACTAGCCCACTACAGTGTTAGGGACATCAACACACTCAAAACAACCAATTATTGAAAAATTCGAAAGTTAGACGTTAACAATGCCTTTCTTCATGGTACACTTGGGAAGGAAGTTCATACGTCTCAGGGATTTTGTTGACAATGAATTCCAGCGTCATTTTTATTGCTGGAAAAGTCCATTTACAGTCTCAAACATGCACCACGGGCCTAGTATAGAAAGCTTAGTTCATGTCTCGTAGATCTTGAGGTTACTCAATCGAAATGTGATGCATTACTGCCCATCTAATGCAACAAGGATGTTCGGATTTTCCTTCTTGTTTAAGTTGACGATCTCTTTGTGATAGGTAATGATTTTGTGCGGGTTAACAAAGCAATTGCCGCTCTAGCACCTTGATTCTACATTAAGGATCTCGGGTCCCTTCACCACTTCCTTGGACTTGAAGCTAACCCCACGACATGGCAAATTTTTAGCCAACATAGCTAAATCTAAGACTTTCTATCCCGCACCCACATGGCGGATGCAAAAAAAGGCGCCACATCCCTTGCCACATCCTCTACTTCACGACTCATTGACGGCTCTGGCCCCGCTAATGCAACCGACTATCACAAGGTCATTGGTGTTCTTCAATATCTCTCCATGACTTGCCCCGATATTGCCTTCGCCGACAACAATCTTGTGCAATTCATGCATCGACCATCAACTCTTCATTGGGTTGCCACCAAACGGCTCCTTTGCCATCTTAAAGGCACTTTATATCATG